TCCCTCCCTCCCTCCCTCTTTCCTCCCTCTCTTTTTCCTTCCTTCTTCTCTTCTCTCTTCCTCTTTTTTCTTTCTTTCTTTCCTTTTCTTTCCTTTTCCTCTCTCCCTCCCTCCGTGTGGCGTTACCAAGGCATTGTAAAGTGGTATTAAAGTGGTATTTGGCAAAACCAACATTGGGACTTAGTGCCCATTGTTTGCAGAAAGGTAGAATTAAAGACAAATTGCAAGGCTGCCCAAATGCCAAGCTAGGATATGATGATGATGATGATGATGATGATGATGATGATGTCGGAAGGGACCTTGGAGGTCATCTAATCCAACCCCCTGCTTAGGCAGGAACCCTACACCATTTCAGACAAATGGCTGTCCAGTCTCTTCTTAAAAACTTCCAGTGTTGGAGCATTCACCGCTTCTGGAGGCAAGGAGTTCCACTGGTTAATTGTTCTAACTGTCAGGAAATTTCTCCTTAGTTCTAAGTTGCTTCTCTCCTTGATCAGTTTCCATCCGTTGCTTCTTGTCCTGCCTTTCAGGTGCTTTGGAGAATAGCTTGACTCCCTCTTCTTTGGGGCAGCCCCTGAGATACTGGAAGACTGCTATCCTGTCCCCCCTCATCCTTCTCTTCGTTAAACTATACATACCCAATTCCAGCAACCGTTCCTTATATGTTTTAGCCTCCAGTCCCCTAATCATCTTTGTTCTTCTCTGTACTCTTTCCGGAGTCACAATATAGTCTTCCAGTTATGACTGTAATAGAGTTTTCCCAGTACGGCGGTAAGTCGTGACAGTTGTAAAGCAGGTTGTGAATCCTGATTTTACGAGCTTTACTGTGGCGGTTTCTTTCACAGGCAAGGTAGTCATAAAATGAACGCAGCAGTCATTAAAACAAGAAACAATTTTTCGCTACGGGGTGTGTTTTGCTGAAAAATCAGAAGAATGTCCATTGCTAACATTTGTTGGGAATGTTTGCCCCATTTTACGACCTCTCTTGCCACAGTTGTTAGTCACGCAGGTTGTTAAGTGAACCTTGACTTTGCTTGTCGGAAGACCGGAAACGGTAATAATAATAATAATAATAATAATAATAATAATAATAATAATAATAATAATAATAATAATAATACATGACAAAGTAGCAACAATGGTGCATTGGAAGATCTGCAAGAAATATAATTTGCCTGTGAGCAAGAACTGGTGGGATCATAAAATAGAGAAAGTCATAGAAAATGATAAAGTTAAACTGCTCTGGGACTTCAGAATTCAAACAGACAAGCACCTGCCACATAACACCCCAGACTTAACAATTGTCGATAAGAAACACAAAAAAGTCTGGATAGTGGACGTGGCAGTGCCTGGAGACGGCAGAATAGACGAGAAAGAACTGGAGAAGATCACAAAATACAAAGACCTACAAATAGAAATAGAAAGACTGTGGCAAAAGCAAGCAAGGGTAGTACCAATAGTAATAGGCGCCTTGGATGCAATCCCAAAACAACTGGAGCACCACTGGAACACCATTGGCATTGACAAATTCGCCATTAGTCAATTGCAAAAGGCGGCCTTCCTAGGAACCGCTTCCATCCTGCGACGAGATCTGTAATACCATCAAACATCCACATCTGCCTATCCCAGGTCCTAGGTAAGGACTCGATAGGTAGACAAAAATGCCAAATCCAGTCTGAACATCTGCCTGACTGTGCGATGATCCATAATAATAATAATAATAATAATAATAATAATAATAATAATAATAATAATAATAATAATAATAATAATAATAGTAGTAATAATAAAAGTTGGAAGGGACCTTGGAGGTCATTTAGTCCAACCCCTTGCTCAGGCAGGAAAACCCTATACTATTTCAGACAAAAGGCTGTCCAGTCTCTTCTTAAAGGTGGTTTACATGACCCCAGGACTACTGAAACCGTCATAAATACCGGTCAGTTGCCAAGTGTCTGAATTTTGATCATGTGACCCCCAGGGAAGCTGCAACGGTCGTTAATTGTGAAAAACGATCGTGAGTCCATTTTTTTTTCAGTGAGGTTGTTAACTTTGAAATGTCACTAAGCGAAGCGTTGTCATCCGAGGACCACCTGTAATTTGGACCGGCTCTCGTTTCAGCAACAGATCTCTCGTCCTTCTCAAGACGAAAAAGTCGAAGAAAAAATAGAGGAGGAGAAAGCGGAGAAAACTGAGAAAAAGGAGGAGGAGAAAAGAGATGAGGAGGAAAAAGACGAGAAAGAAGAATCCAAGTAAGTCCATCGTGGGGTGTGTTACCTCCTGGGTGGGTGTGTTGGTGCGTCTGTTGTGCAGGTGTGCGCAGGTGTGCATCTGCAGCATTTGCTTGGTGTTATAAAAGGCCTTTTAAAGAATCCTGGTTGATTAGAGGGATAGGATAAGATAGAATAGAATAGAGAAAATTAGAATGGAATGGAATGGAATAGAATAGAGTATGGAGTGGAGTGGAGTAGAGTAGAATAGAGTATGGAATGGAGTGGAATAGAATAGAATAGAGTATGGAGTGGAGTAGAGTAGAATAGAGTATGGAATGGAGTGGAATAGAACAGAACAGAACAGAACAGAACAGAACAGAACAGAACAGAATAGAATAGAATAGAATAGAATAGAATAGAATAGAATAGAATAGAATAGGTCCGTGGTGGTGAACCTATGGCCTGGGTGCCAGAGGCGGCACTCAGAGCCCTCTCTGTGGGCACGCGCGCCCTCGCCCCAGTCCTAGGCCTTCAGCTGGGTTTTATAAAACCTTTTCGCTTTAGGCCTCCGCCGCCATGTGCAAAAAAAAAAAAGTTCAATCAGTCAATTTCAACTTCTTGCAGGAAAAAAAGAGATCTTGCAAAGTTGGAATTGATTGATTGAACTTTTTAGTCCCACCCAGTCTGCCGCTACCACCGCAGCCACGCCCATACAATGGGCCACACCCACCCAATGGCCACACCCACTCAGCACCCGATGATGCATAAGTGGGTTTTGGGTTGCAGTTTGGGCACTCGGTCTCTAAAAGGTTCGCCATCACTGGAATAGAGTATGGAATGGAATGGAATGGAATGGAATGGAATGGAATGGAATGGAATGGAATGGAATGGAATAGAATAGAATAGAATAGAATAGAATAGAAAACAGAGTTGGAAGGGACCTTGGAGGTCTTCTAGTCCAGCCCCCTGCTCAAGCAGGAGAACCTATACCCTCTCAGGGAAGTGGCTGCCCAGTCTCTTCTTAAAAACCTTCAGTGATGGAGCACCCACGATTTCTGGTGGCAAGCTGTTCCACTGGTTGATTGTCCTCACTGTCAGGAAGCTTCTCCTTAATTCCAGGTTGCTTCTCTCCTTGATCAGCTTCCAACCATTGTTTCTCGTCCTTCCCTCTGGTGCTCTGGTGAACAACCTGGGCCCCTCTGCCTGGTGGCAGCCCCTCAGATACTGGAATGCTGCTATCATGTCTCCTCTATTTCTTCTTTTCTTTAGACTAGCCAAACCCAACTCCCGCAGCCGTTCTTCCTATGTATTAGTCTCCAGGCCTTGGACCCTCTTAGTTGCTCTTCTCTGAACTTTTTCCAAACTCTCAACATCTTTTTTGTGATATGGTGATCAAAATTGGCTGCATTGTTCCAGGTGTGGCCTCACTAGGGTTTTATAAAGCAGTACTAATACTTCGCGTGATCTTGATTCTATGCCTCTGTTTATACAACCCAGGATTGTGTTAGCTTTTTTGGTTGCTGCTGTACAAGGCTGGCTCATGGTCAAGTGATTGTCCACTAGGACTCCGAGGTCCCTCTCACAGTGGCTGTTTTTGAGCCAGGCCTCGCCCAATCTGTACTTGCACCTTTGGTTTTTCCTGCCTAAATGTAAAACTTTGCTTTTCTCCACATTGAAACTCATTTTGTTGGACAGGGCCCATGGTTCAAGTTGGTCAAGATCTTTTCGGATCCCGAACTTGTCTTCTGGGGTGTTGGATTAATTTTAGATTGGATTTTGGCATTGAATTTGATCTGGGAGAGCCTCAAAATATTTATTTATTTACTTATTTCTAAAATTTATTTGCCACCCATTTCGTATCCGGTGTCTCTGAAACGGGAAATATTTTCCCTAAATGCACAGACGGCCCTCGACTCAACGTCCGTGGTTGAGCTCAAAATTTTCCGTCGCGAAGTAAGGCAGTTACGAAGCGAGTCCTTTCCAGCACTGAGGACGTAAACTTAGTTTGGGTATGGAAAAGTCTGCAAGGAAACGACCACCCAGTCCAGGGAGCACCAAGGACCCCACCTTTCAACCCCCCACCCACGTGACAAATATTCTCCTTTATTAATGCCAAGTTAGGCTGACCTGGCAGCTGCTGGTGTGCCATTTGCCATCTTTTCTTGCTGAAAGTTGAATTTAGGAGACTACGCGGCGACCGACGGCTAAGAACTATGATAATAATAATGATAAAGTTGGAAGGGACCTTGGAGTTCATCTAGTCCAACCCCCTGCTCAGGCAGGAAACCCTATACCATTTCGGACAAATGGCTGTCCAGTCTCTTCTTAAAGACTTCCAGTATTGGAGCATTCACCGCTTCTGGAGGCAAGGAGTTCCACTGGTTAATTGTTCTCACTGTCAGGAAGTTTCTCCTTCGTTCCAGGTTGCTTCTCTCCTTGGTGAGTTTCCACCCGTTGCTTCTTGTCCTGCCTTCAGGCGCTTTGGAGAAGAGCTTGACTCCCTCTTCTTTGGGGCAGCCCTGAGATACTGGAAGGCTGCTATCATGTCCCCCCTCGTCCTTCTCTTCATTAAACTAGACAGACCCAATTCCAGCAGCCTTTCCTTATATGTTTTAGCCTCCGGTCCCCTGATCATCTTTGTTGCTCTTCTCTGTACTCTTTCTAGAGTCTCAACATCTTTTTTACATCGTGGTGACCAAAACTGGATGCCGTATTCCAAGTGTGGCCTTACCAAGGCCTTGTAAAGTGGTATTAACCCTTCACGTGATCTTGATTCTGATCCTCTGTTAATGCAGCCCAGCACTGTGTTGGCTTTTTGGGCAGCTGCAGCACACGGCTGGCTCCTGTTTAAGTGATTGTCCACTAGGACTCCGAGGTCCCTCTCACAGTTACTACTATTGAGCCAGGTACCCCCTATACTATACCTGTATAACTCACCTCTTCCTAAGGCCGTTTCCTGGTGTGCCGGGAATCCCCGCCTGGCAATTATGGGAGAGAAAGGATTGTGCAGGGAAGTAATAATACACCGTATGAGATTTGATTTAAGCCAGATCTCAGCCTGCAGTCCAGGATATCCTCCCCACAGTGGCTTCCATCATCATCCAGGTAGCCTTCTAAAACCGGCCTTGAGTGACGTGCGCTGGCTAATCCCATCCAACCCCAAGGTCAAACTCCACATATGGCCTCCTTGGTGCTCTCTAGGTAAGGCCATCAGTGCTCATCTAGGTAAGGCCATCAGTGCTAGGAGGGAGGGGGGCTTGTGGGGGGAAGGAGGAGGAGGAGGAGGAGGAGGATGACGTGGACGATGACTGTGGGGTGCCTGGTGCTCTCTGAGGTTGTTTCCTTGCGGACATTTCATGACCCAACTAGGTAACACCATCAGTGCTGGAGGGGAGGGGATTAGCTCTCTGTTTATATTCTCGTGTCTTGCCCTGTCAGTATTAGGGGGACCGTTGTTTTTCTTCTCGGTGGTTCCCTGCTTAGGCTGTTGTAGTTGGATGGAAGGATGATGGATGGATGGAAAGAAATGTATGTATATATGTATGTATGTATGTATGGGAGGGAGGGAGGGAGGGAGGGAGGGAAGGAAGGAAGGAAGGAAGGAAGGAAGGAAGGAAGGAAGGAAGGAAGGAATGAGGGAGGAAGGAAGGAAGGAAGGAAGGAAGGAAGGAATGAGGAAGGAAGGAAGGAAGGGGAGAAGGGAGGGAAGGAAAGAAGGAGATGAGGGGGGAGGGAGGGAAGAAGGAAGGGGAAAGGGAGAGGGAGGGAGGGAGGAAGAAAGGAAGGGGGAGGAAGGAAGGGGAGGGAGGGAAGGAAGGAAAGAACTAGGGGGAAGGGAAGGGAGAGGGAGGGAGGAAGAAAGGAAAGAAGGAAAGGGAGAGGGAGGAAGGAAGGAAGGAAGGAAAGAAGGAAGGAAGGAAGGAAGGAAGGAAGGAAGGAAGGAAGGAAGGAAGGAAGGACGATGGGATCCTTGGTGCTCTCTGAGCTGGGTTGTTTCCTTGCAGACATTTCATTCCTCAACTAGGGAACATCAACAGTGCTAGAAGGGGGGGGGGCGTTGCTCCCTTTTTAATTACCAAGAGGAAAACAACACTCCCACCAACACTGACAAGGCAAGTGACTAGTATCTAAAGAGAGAGTAACTCCCACTCCCTTCTAGCACTGATGATGTTACCTACTTGGGTCATGAAACGTCTGCAAGAAAACAGACAAGTTCAGAGAGCACCAAGGACCCCACAGTCGTCCTCCTCCTTCTCCTTTTCCTCCTCCTCCTCCCCTCCTGCTCCTCCTGCTCCTGCTCCTGCTCCTCCCCTCCTCCTCCTCCTTTTAGTCTTCCTCCTCTCCTTCTGCTCCTCCTCTACCCTCTCCTCCTCCTCCTCCCCTCCTTTTCCTCTTCCTCCTCTTCCTCCCCATCCTGCTCCTCCTCCCCTCCTCCACCTTCCTCTCCTCCTTCTCATCCTCCTCCTCCTCATCCTGCTCCTCCTCCTCTTGCTCCTGCTTTTCCTCCCCCCTCCTCTTCTTCCTCTTCCCCTCCTCCTCCTCCTCCCCCTGCTCCTCCTCATCTCCTTCTACCGCTGATAATGTTCCCTAGTTGGGTCTTGAAACATCCGCAAGAAAACAAACTCGGGGAGCCCCGAGGACCCCACGGTTCAACCCTGGGCTGCAAACCTCCTCTTCCATCACCCAGAATTCTTCGTTGCGTCGGGATGAGTGCGGCGGCCAGAGATCCCTCCAAACTGCAAGCGTTAACGTAGCTCACGCTCTGAAGGACGGCCGCCCTCCGTCCATCTCTCCTTCCAGGTCACTCCGTCCCAAGACCGTTCCTGACTTTTTTCTGTGTCTCCCCCCCCCCAGGGAAAATATCAAGGAGAAGGAGAAGGTCGAAGCCCAGCCCGAAGAGCCCGAAGAACGGGAGACCACCATTCCAAGAGGGCGGAAGACTGCCAACAGCCAAGGCCGGCGGAAAGGCCGGGTCACCCGATCGATGACGAACGAAGCCGCCGCGGCTAACGCGGCCGCAGCGGCCGCCACCGAGGAACCACCCCCTCCGCTGCCGCCCCCGCCGGAACCCTGTAAGTCAAGGCGGTCCTGACAACGGCTTGTGGCCATCTCGGTCGGTCTCTGCTTGTTGCAAAAAACCCTGTTTCTGGCTTCCAAAATTCTTCCCGTGATGCTCTGCAGCATTACAGGTAGTCCTTGACTTAACGACCGGAACAGAGCCCCCCCCAATTAATGTCGCTAAACGAGAAACTTGTTCAGTGAGGTTCTCCCCCTTCTCCCTCCCGATTTTACGACTTTCCTTGCCACGTTGGTTACGCGATTCCTTTCAGTTGTTAAATGAGTCACCCAGTTGTTAAGTGAAGCTGGCTTCCCCGTTGACTTTGCTTGTCGGAAGGTCGCGAAATGGGGAATCGCCTGATTCCGCTGCGATGCTGCGGCCGTCATAAATATGAAGCCCTTTTTCAGATGTCTGAATTGAAATGTAAATGCAAAACGGTCGTGAGTGTGAAAAGAGGACGTAAGTCACTTTTTTGAGGGCCGTTGTAACTTTGAACGGTCAGTAAATGAACGGTCGTACGTGGAGGATGACCTGCGCAGGTCGTCCTCGGCTCACGACCTCAACTGAGCGCAAAACATCCATTGCTCAGCAAGACAAGTTGGGAAGTGAATTTTGCCCTGTTTTACAACCTTTCTTGCCACCGTTGCTAAGTGAATCACCGCAGTTGTTCAGCTTGTAATCCAGGGGTCCCCAACCTGTGGGCTGCGGCCGACTACCGGGCTGTGGCCTCTTGGCCTCTGGGCCGCGAAAAGGGATGGCCAGTGCACCTGTGTGTGTGTGTGTGTGTGCACTCACCCTCCACACTTGCACTAGTGCCTCTGCGAGTGTCTATCGGCACTAGCGCCACCCCGCCCTGAGCGTTTCGCTGGCACTAGTGCCAGCCCAAGTGTGCCTCCAACGCTAGCGCCACCCCGCCCTGGGCGCCCCATCAGCACTAGTGCCATCCCGAGTATCCCTCTGGCGCTAGAGCCACCCCGAGTGTCCCTCCAGTGCTAGCGCCACCCCACCCCAAGCATCCTGACAGCACTAGTGCCACCCTGAGCGTCCCTCCGGCGGTAGCACCACCTGCTCCGAGTGTTCCACCAGCACTAGTGCCACCCTGAGCGTCCCACCAGCAGTTTCGCCACCCTGAGCGTCCCTCCAGCGCTAGTGTCACCCCGTCCCAAGCGTCCCTCCAGTAGTAATGCCACCCTGAGAGTCCGTCCAGCGCTAGTGCCACCCCCCGAGCTTCTCACCAGCACTAGTGCCACCCTGAGCATCGCCAGCAGTAGCGCCACCCCGAGGGTCCCTCTGGCGCTAGCGCCGCTCCCCCAACGTCCTGCCAGCACTAGTGACACCCTGAGTGTCCCCCCAGCACTAGTGCCACCCCAAGCGTCCCGCCAGCAGTAGCGTCACCCCGAGCATCCCTCCAGCGCTAGTGCCACCCCAAGCGTCCCGCCAGCAGTAGTGCCACCCCGAGCGTCCCTCCAGCGCTAGTACCACCCCGAGCGTCCCGCCAGCAGTAGCGCCACCCTGTGCGTCCCCCCGGCGCTGGTGTCACCCCGCCCCGAGCTTCTCACCAGCACTAGTGCCACCCTGAGTGTCCCTCGGCCCTAGTGCTTCCCCATCTGTTGCACTCGCACTAACGCGGCCCCATTTGCGCGTGCGTGGCCCGTTTGTCCATGTGCACTTGCGCGTAACGGTGCCCTGCCTCCCTCTCCGGGCCGCCAAGCTCAAAAAGTTGGGGACCTCTGTAGTAATCAGTTCCTTCACGGTTGTTAAGTAGCAGGTAGCAGCAGAGATCACCATCTTCCGTCTCTCAAGCCCTTTCTTTCCCCTGCTCTCTGGCCTCCTCCGTCTCCACATAAACACATTTAAGCTGATCTGAAATTAACCGTGATGATCCTGGCTGGGAGAAGGCCGAACCGCGTACAGATGTTCAGATCGCAGAGAAGACACTCTGCAGCAGTCCATTTAGTGACTGAAGCTACAGCGGCGCTGAAAATCGACCTGTGACCGTTTTTTTCACACCTACGACCGTCGCAGCATCGCCCATGGTCACTGGAGTCGAAATTCGGCCACTCTGGCGGCTGACTCATATTTATGACGGTCGCAGTGCCGTGGGGTCCTGTGATTGCCTTTTGCAATCACAGTTAACGGGGGAAGCTAGATTCACTTAACAACTGTGCGACTAATTGAACAACTGCAGCAATTCACTCAACAACTGAGGCAGGAAAAGGTAATTAAAATGAGGCGAAGCTCCCTTAACAAAAGTCTCGCTGAGTGGCAGAAATTTCGGGCTCTCTTGTGGCCGTAAATTGAGGACTACCTAGGCAGATGTTCAGCTAGCAAAGAAGAAAATTGCGTAATTGCAAGACAGAGAGTGTTCGGTTTCAATTCATTCAGTTTTGTGCTTTTTTTTCGGTAAAAAGCCGAAAGGGTTTCCGTGCAGTCTTGCTTGAAATTATCCTAGTGTAAAAAATCAGAAACCAGTAAAAGAAAGGCAGAAATGAGGTTAATTTCTCTTCTGAAACGTCACGCGGAGGGCAGCTGAGTGAATATATTGTCCTTTGACCCACCTGAAAAAAGTTGCCCGAGAATTAAAATCACTGCGTTGTGGCTCAGGAATACAGACTCACAAAAACAACACAGATTGCAGAAGATACTCAGAGCCCAGAGCAGGGGTCTTCCAGCTTGGCCCTTTTAAGACTTGTGGACTTCAACTCCCAGAATTCCTCAGCCAGGATGCTTTAAGACAGGGGTCTTCCAACTGGGCCCTTTTATGACTTGTGGACTTCAACTCCCAGAATTCCTCAGCCAGCATGGCTGGCTCAGGAATTCTGGGAGTTGAAGTCAACAAGTCATAAAAGAGCCAAGGTTGCCTACCCCTGGATTAAACACACAAGGAATGTGTTTCCGGTACAGAAGCTCTCATTGCACGTATCAAGCAAAACAACAACAAGAACAATAATACCAATAAAAGGGGGGAAGTAAAGACGATAATAAGAAGGATAAAAATTACTACGACAGCCACACTACATGGGTTACTATCCATAGACATTAGGCAGCACTGAGGGAATTGGATGTCCCTCTGTCTAGTTGTTTTGGCGTGCAGAGCCCCATGGTAGGCGTCTCCAAACTTGGGCACTTTAAGACTTCTGGACTTCAACTCCCAGAATTCCCTAGCCAGCACACGGTGGCTTTTAAGACTTCTGGACTTCAACTCCCAGAATTCCCTAGCCAGCACTTGGCGACTTTTAAGACTTCTGGACTTCAACTCCCAGAATTCCCTAGCCAGCACACGGTGGCTTTTAAGACTTCTGGACTTCAACTCCCAGACTTCCCTAGCCAGCACACGGTGGCTTTTAAGACTTGTGGACTAGTCCTCAGCCAGCACTTGGCGACTTTAAGACATCCTCATCATCAGAGTTGGAAAGGGCCCTTGGAGATCATTCTAGTCTAGGGAATTCTGGGAGTTGAAGTCCACAAGTCTTAAAAGTGGCCCTCTTTGGAGACCCCTGCCCTCTAATGCCGTCCCGAGGAGAGGAGTTGAAACAGGACGCGAGGGGTCTGCAAGTATCTACCCAGCTCTCCTCCGGACCCCCTCAATATACAATATGCAAATACACTGTTTACGGTATGTACAGGATGCTCGGCTGGCTGGGGAATTCTGGGAGTTGAAGTCCACCGATCTCCACGTTGCCCTGCTTGGACTCCGGTTGCCTGGGCCCTTAAGGGGAATCAACCTTCCAGGCAGCCTCCGTTGCTGACGGCCTCTTCTGGCACTGAGCTCCCGGCCTCCCGCCCCACGGAGGGGATTTCTCCTCCTCTCCTCCTCCTGCTCCGAGGCTCACTCTTGGTTTTTGTTTTCTCCTCTTTTTTTTGTTTTTGATGTAATAAGAACTGACGCCCTCCCGCTGTCAGCGGGCAGCGTTCCCAAGCGGCCGGAGCAGGCCTTCCTGTAAACAGATTAATAGATTATGCGGAAAGCACAAAGTCTGGCCTTTTACGCCATCTGACCGGCTCTCTCCTCTCTCTCTCTCCTCTCCCTCTCGCTCCCTCTCTCGCTCTCTCTCTTCTTTCCTCTCCACCTTGTTTCAGCTTCCGCGGAGCCAGTGGAGACCTCGCGCTGGACGGAAGAAGAGATGGAGGTGGCGAAAAAAGGTAAAACTGAAGCAGGAAGGAAGCTTTATCCTTCCCCCCCCCTCCCCTTCCTTCTCCCTTCTGTCCTCCCTTCCTTCCTCCCTTCTTCTCCCTTCCTCTTCCTTCCTTCCTTCCTTTCTTTCTTCCCTCCCTCCATTTTTCCTTCTTTCTTTCCTTCTTTCCTTCCTTCCTCCCTCTTTCCCTCCATTTTTCCTTCCTTCTTCCCTTCCTCCCTCCCTTCCTCTCTCTCCCTCTTTCCTCCCTCCCTTTTTCCTTCCTTCTTCTCTCTTCATCTTTTTTCTTCTTTCTTTCTTTCTTTCTTTCTTTCTTTCTTTCTTTCTTTCTTTCTTTCTTTCTTTCTTTCCTTCCCTCTTTCTTTCTTTCTTCCCTACCTCCCTCTCTCCATTTTTCCTTCTTTCTTTCCTTCCTTCCTCCCTCTTTCCCTCCATTTTTCCTTCCTTCTTCCCTCCCTCCCTCCCTTCCTCTCTCTCCCTTTCCTTCCTCCCTTTTTCCTTCCTTCTTCTCTCTTCCTCTTTTTTCTTTCTTTCCTTTCTTTCTTTCTTTCTTCCTTCCCTCTTTCTTTCTTTCTTTCTTTCTTTCTTCCCTCCCTCCCTCTCTTCATTTTTCCTTTCTTTCCTTCCTTCCTCCCTCTTTCCCTTTCCTCCCTCCCTTTTTCCTTCCTTCTTCTCTTCCTCTTTTCTTCTTTCTTTCTTTCTTTCTTTCTTTCTTCCTTCCTTCTTTCTTTTTTTCTTTCCTCCCTCCCTCCCTCCCTCCATTTTTCCTTTTTTCTTTCTCTCCTTCCTCCCTCCTCTTTCCCTCCATTTTTCCTTCCTTCTTCCCTCCCTCCCTCCCTTCCTCTCTATCCCTCTTTCCTCCCTCCCTTTTTCCTTCCTTCTTCTCTCTTCCTCTTTTTTCTTCTCTTTCTTCCTTCCTTCCTTCCTTCCTTCCCTTTCTTTCTTCCCTCCCTCCCTCCCTCCATTTTTCCTTCCTTCTTCCCTTCCTCTCTCTCCCTCTTTCCTCCCTCCCTTTTTCCTTCTTCTCTCTTCTTTTTTCTTCTTCCTTCCTTCCTTCCTTCCTTCCTTCTTTCTTTTTCTTTCTTTCTTTCTTTCTTTTTTCTTTCCTTCCTTCCTTCCTTCCTTCCTGTTTTTTTTAAAATCCTTTTAGCAACCAAAGGACAGCATGAGACAATTAGTTTGGAAGTTCCTTTTCCTGGAAAGTCCAGCACGCTTCTGCAGCCTTCCCGGGATCTTGCAGCCTCAATGAAACCCTGCTAGTGGGCTTGGCCACGTCAGTCCCAGGGTTGTGGGAAGTTTTGTCAAGCTTCGTTAGAACTTCCAGGGTTGAGGCAAGGTACTTTTTTGTGGAAAAAGTGGGTCTCTGCTGGCTTCAAGGCCTCGTCTCCCCACTCTCATCCCACTCCTGTTGATTTGAGCCATCTGTAGCTGCAGCTTCCCGAGGGATAATAATCTGCAAGCGGAGGAAACCAGCCTGTCTTCACTCCTGCCACTGGGAATTTGGGATTTGTCTTTAAAGAATCAGAATAACAATAGAGCAACAGAACGGCAGAGTTGGAAGGGACCTGGGAGGTCATCTAGTCCAACCCCCTGCTCAGGCAGGAAACCGTATACCATTCCAGGTAAAGGGTTGTCCAGTCTCTTCTTAAAAGCCTCCAGTGTTGGAGCATCCATAACTTCTGGTGGCAAGCTGTTCCACTGGCTAATTGTCCTCAGTGTTAGGAAGTTTCTCCTTTAATTCCAGGTTTGCTTCTCTCCTTGATCGGTTTCCGTCCGTTGTTTCTTGTCTTGTTTTTTGAAAAATAGGTTGACACTCCCCCCCGCCTCTTCTTTGTGGCCGCCTCTCAAATATTGGAAGACTGCTTTCATGCCCCCCCCCCGATCCTTCTTTTCTCTAGCCCAGCGGTACCCAATTCCAAACGCACCCTCCCTGAATTGTGGGCTGACACACAGCCTCTGACTTCTGCCCGGCTCCCCCCTGTATTTGTGCTGATCTGGGTTGATCAACTAAGGAGAAACTTCCTGACAGTGAGAACAATTAACCAGTGGAACTCCTTGCCTTCAGAAGCAGTGAATGCTCCAACACTGGAGGTTTTTAAGAAGAGACTGGACAGCCATTTGTCTGAAATGGTATAGGGTTTCCTGCCTGAGCAGAGGGTTGGACTAGATGACCTCCAAGGTCCCTTCCAATGTTGTTGTTGTTGTTGTTGTTGTTATTATTATTATTATTATTATTATTATTTATGAGAGATAGATAGATAGATAGAGAGATAGAGAGATAGAGATAGAGATAGAGATATAGGTAGTTGAGAGGTAGGGAGGGAGATAGAGAGAGAGATAGATAGATAATAGATAGATAGATAGATGATAAATAAATAGATAAATAGATAGGTATAGATATGGATATGGATATGGATGGGTGGATGGATAGATAGGTATAGATATAGATATAGGTAGTTGAGAGGTAGGGAGGGAGATAGAGAGAGAGAGATAATAGATAGATAGATAGATAGATAGATAGATAGATAGATAGATAGATAGATAGATAGATAGATAGATAGATAGATAGATAGATAGATAGATAGATAGATAAATAGATAAATAGATAAATAGATAAATAGATAAATAGATATGGATATGGATGGGTGGATGGATAGATAGATAGATAGATAGATAGGTATGGATATGGATATGGATATGGATATGGATGGATATAGATATATATTTTATAGGATTGGGAATAGGGTCCGGATTGGGGTTGGGGTTAGAGTTAGGATTTTTTAAAATAACCTTCGTAATATTTAGCAAACAGCATGTTGTCTGGGTTCATGTATTTTTTAAAAAAAGAATGAATAGTAATTAATTATCATAAACAATATGTTAATCGCTCAATAGTCTCCTTCTTCTTACTAGTATATATTGAGTGTTACATTATTATTATATTATTATATTAACTGGAAGCGGCATTTTGATTCCGAGAGATGCCGGCCAGGCTCTCTTTTTGCTCGCCAGAAAGTCCCAAAAGGGGGTCGCGTGACACCCCCGGGGACGCGGCGACCGTCATAAATACAAGTCGGTTGCCGAGCGTCCGAATTTTGGATCGGGGGGCCCACGGGGAACCCTGCGGAAGGTCGTAAGTGTGAAAGACGGTCGTAAGTCCCCTTTTTCTCAGTTTGGAACTAGTCACTAAGCGAACCGTCGTTAGGTCGAGGACTACCTGGCATTTATCCTCTTCCGGTGAGGCGCCCCCATCCCCCGTCACAGCGTTTGGGTGGCTCCATATCCATCCCTGGATGGTTTCCGAAGGAGAAACGGTCCCGAATGGAACACTTGGGTTCCTGTTCCGGGCGGGGTCAGACTAGAAGACCTCTAAGGCTCCCTTCCAAACTTTTGTCATAATAATAATAATGATGATGATGATGATGATGATGATGATGTTGATGTTGGAAGGGACCTTGGAGATCATCTAGTCCAACCCCCTGCTCAGGCAGGAAACCCTATACCAGTGATGGTGAACCTTTTAGAGACCGAGTGCCCAAACTGCAACCCAAAACCCACTTATGCATCGCCGGGGTGCCGGGTGGGTGTGGCCCATTGGGTGGGTGTGGCCTATGGGGGGGCGTGGCTGCAGTGGTAACAGCAGACTGGGTGGGACTAAAAAGTTCAATCAATCAATTCCAACTTTGTAAGATCTTTTTTTTTCCCGCGAGAAGTTGAAACTGATTGATTGATTGAACCTTTTTTTTTGTACACGGCGGCGGAGGCCTAAAGCGAAAAGGTTTTATAAAACCCAGCTGAAGGCCCAGGACTGGGGGAATGGCACGCGTGCCCACAGAGAGGGCTCTAAGTGCCGCCTCTGGCACCCGTGCCATAGGTTCGCCACCACTGACCTCTACCATTTCAGACAAATGGCTGTCCAGTCTCTTCTTAAAGACTTCCAGTGTTGGCGCATTCACTGCTTCTGGAGGCAGGTGGTTCCACTGGTTAATTGTTCTACCTGTCAGGAAGTTTCTCCTTAGTTCCAGGTTGCTTCTCTCCTTGATCAGTTTCCACCCGTTGCTTCTCGTCCTGCCTTAAAACGCCTTGGGGTGAACTTAAGGGATCTCTTCTGCCTTAGCAACCCTCAAAGGCAAAAATAAAATATAATAATAATAATTTTTAAAAAAACCATGGAATTGCTAACATTTGAACACAGTCTGCCAGGAAACGCAGACCCGCTTGTGCGTCCGTGTGTGTGATTTGCACAACTGGATCTTCTCAGGACTTTGGAGAGAGCAGATCCCTGTTGCCCAGACGACCAAAAATGTCTAAAAACAGTTCCAGATACTTTGAGGTTGTTTTGGGTTTTCTTTTTTTTCTTCTTCTTCTTTCTTTCTTTGTTTATGACTCATGTCAGTTGAGGCCATCAATTGCACCCTCTCCTCCTCCTCCTCTTCCTCCTCCTCCTCCTCCTCCTCCTCCTCCTCCTCCGGCTTTGCCTTGATATTTTTCTTAAATCCTTTTTTTTTCCCCTTTCCCCTCCTGGCAATTGGCTCGGGACTTACTGTAAAGTATGAAGGAATAAAAGCTCAATTCCCAAAGCATGGGGGGGTGGGTTGGGGGGGGCGGAAGGGACTGTAACTTGCCTTCTCCACAATCTGATTTTGCTCAGCGTCAAGGTTCACTCTGAAAAACGGAAAGTTTTTTTCCTCTGGGTCCAATGCGTATAAGTCGCCGTGTATCCGATAAGTTGGATTATATCACATCGAATAGGAGAGAATATTCGTACTTCGGGGTTGAACTGTGGGGGTCCCTGATGCTCTCTGAGCTGGGCGGTTTTCCCGCAGACGTTTCATGACCCGACTAGGTAACATTATCAGTGCTAGAAGGGAGGTGGGGTTTGAGGAGAGGAGGAGGAGGAAGAGGATGATTATGGGGTCCTTGGTGCTCTCTGAGCTGGGTGGTTTTCCTGCGGACG